TGGTAGTGAGTAGATAAGAGGATGTGCGTAGAGTATCATGAGGTGCTGCCATGGTCACTTTGCATTCTGCAAGAGTCATTCTAGCAAGTGGCGATTGTGTTGCAAGATGTCAAGAGGAGGTCTCTGTCTGGAGGCGCAGGTCGTCAGCGATGTGTGAGATTGTGCTGTGGGTATGCTTGTGGTGTGTTGGCTTTTCTGTTTGTTTTCCATTTCAGCTCTGTCCGTGTGACCCAGGTTCTCGCAATGGCATCCAAGTCAACGTGTATTGGTCGTGAAGGAAAAAAGGGTTGGATCCCTTTTTTGCCGGGGAGTGTCAATGGAGTTGAAGATTGAACGATCAATTCTTGGTTGTTTGCTCAAAATCAACTTCCCCAATTTTCGCGGAGGCATCAATACGACAGTCATCGTCTCATCGGTCGCTGTTCAGAAAGAAGAGTGAAACATCGTCAGAAGTAACAATGATTTATTATTGTAATATTTGTTTTCAGACCTTAGTTCACTTATTCCTTTTATATGTTGGTGTAACAATAAAGAAATATCAAACGGCAGATCGGTGTTTTGGTTTTTTCGTCCGTTATAACTAAGCGTTTCTGAGAAACCTTCGAAGAACAGCGTGGGCCCGAGCGTAGCGAGAGCTGGGCATTAACGGTTTATGAGATCTGATTGACATCATCTCTACCTCCAAATCTCTCTTCTAATACATTGTATGCTTCTGGCACACTACATCCAATGAGTACTCTCACTCTTCCATCTTGCAATTTTGGAAGAGGTATGTCACACAGGTATGGCTTACCGACAACCGTTTCACGACTAGGTACTATAGCTTCGCCAAGTTTCATACTGGAGGTAGTGTAAGCAGTATCCACTTCCACGGTCTCCCCAGTAGCCAAGTATTCTAACTGAAATGACACTCGCTCACATACTACTGTTTTCGCAGAATTGAAAGTATTTACAACCAAGGGTTGCTTTGGGCCTTTAATACCCAAGCAACCAGCCAGTTCAGCATCTATCAATGTAACGTCTGAACCATTATCCAACAATGCATAAGTCTCTACTGAAGATTTCGGTCCTTTCACCTTAACTGGTAATACTCCTAAGAAAACTTGTGGGATGTCAAGGGGTCTAGAGATACTATTACAATTAACCGAACTCCCAGGTTCGTTCACTGTCCTCAGAAGTGGGTGCATATCCGTTAAACCACTACTTCCTTTATTTGTCGCCTTACAATTCCACTTTGTATGCCCAATCTTTAAACAACTGAAACACAGCCGCTTCTGCTTTGCCATTTTTAACCTTTCTACGGGTGACATAGCGATAAAGCGATTACAATCACTCAATTGATGCATGTTATGGCAGACAATACACTCATCCTTTCTCGTTGTGTCTTGAGACTTCACCACAAATGCCTTCCTTATATTCACTGGTTCCTTTGGTTCTACCTTAGAATGCAAAGTGCTGGCGAATTTGCCCATCGCCTGGTTGACACTGTCCTTCACCAGTCTAAGAATATCATCGAACCTTGGCTCGATACCCTCCTCCTCTATACGAGAGCTTATTTTTACCCATTTCCTTTGCAGCCGCGTAGGTAGGCGTCTTGCAATTACCTCTAGGACTGAGCTGGAGTTGAGGTCACTCATGAAATTCATCGAAATCGAGGTATTCTTGTAAGTCCTAAGATTATCTAAAAACTCAGTGAGTACCTGAGAGTCATCCTGTAATTGACCACCATTACCCTTAACAGCCTCGAATAATTTCCCTGCAATCATCGAAGGTCTTCCAAACCCTTGACGTAATATGCTCATAGCCTCGTAGTAGCCCTCTTTTGGCTTCATAAACTTACAGCACTGTATAGCTCTTCAAGCATCTCCAGTGCAATACCTCATCAAATACATCAATTTCAATTCATCATTTAATAAAAAACCACTCAGCATGATCTCAAACTCCTTTACAAATTGTAAATAATCGACAGGGTTTCCATCAAAACACCGTGGTTCAAATTTAGGGAATTTGATGTTCCTATTATCCCTGAACGGCAAAACAGTAACATCAACCATGTCATGCTTAACATCAGACACATCGTTACAATTAACAGACAAGTCACCATGACTTACTTTCCTGTTTGCATCCAAGACACTCTGTCACTTCTTTGACCCAGGCATTGTTGAACTTGACCCAATTCCAAAAGAGTTCCAGATATTGCTTGTTCAAAGAGGACTTGACCGGCACCAGGAAAAATGAACGGCGACTATCCAAACTTTCACCAACTGTTTGAATCCGCCAGATCTGTTTCCATCGTCAGAAACTGTCAATCACGTCTCATAAACCGTTAATGCCCAGCTCTCGCTACGCTCGGGCCCACGCTGTTCTTCGAAGATTTCTCAGAAACGCTTAGTAATAACGGACGAAAAAACCAAAACACCGATCTGCCGTTTGATATTTCTTTATTGTTACACCAACATATAAAAGGAATAAGTGAACTAAGGTCTGAAAACAAATATTACAATAATAAATCATTGTATTACTTCTGACGATGTTTCACTCTTCTTTCTGAACAGCGACCGATGAGACGATGACTGTCATATTGATGCCTTCGCGAAAATTGGGGAAGTTGATTTTAAGCAAACAACCAAGAATTGATCGTTCAGTCTTCAACTCCATTGACAACCCGTCTATCATTTTACAGAGAAGCCAATATTGGTAATTAGCTGGTCATGTGGTTAAAATGTGATTGCCTCAGGATAGGTTGCTAAACAACAATTATGAATATTTTTGCTGGGTGAAGTAAATGATGCAATTTTTATGCCGACGTGCTTAAGACTGACAAAACGTTTTGATTCAGATTTTCCTATTTCTAATCTCGCCCCCCATAGGATTTAAAGTCCTTTGGTAGTCTAATAATTCACTAGTATATGATCAAACCTACATGCTTATTAGCTATTTTGAACCTTTGAGTTACAGATTCCCGAAATCCTAAGATCCAAGAATCCGATCATAAGTGTACCTCATTAGGTTGGCAACGAAACATTCACGTTATCAGCAACAACCGAACTGCGACTTCTCAAGCAGCAATCACAGGACTTGGAAAACGAATGATCTGTTTTTGTTCTTGATTAAAATCAATAGGAATAAAGATGCCCATATATCCAAATTTTATTCTCTCATTCCTTAACGTAGAGTTCAGATATGTTAGCTGTGACATAAAAACTTGAGGCGTCACAGAGTGGCCTTCGGTTTCGTGGAGAAAACTGACGGTACGAATTCATTAGCCCACAAACTCACCACACGTAAACCTGGCTGGCGTCAATGTAGATGAAGACTGAGCGATCAATTCATGGTTGTTTGCTCAAACCCAACTCCTCCATATTTTTCGTGGGAGTCATCAATCCAGCAGTCATCGTCTCAACGTTCGCTGTTCGGTGGAAGAGAGAAAACTATCAGAAGTATTATCATGACTTATTGTTATAACATTTATTCTTAGACCTTGTGTATAATAACCTTATTGTTGGTTACATGTTGGCGTGAGAATAAAGGATTCTTGAGTCGCCAATCTGTGTTCTGGTTTTTCGAGTCGGTTATAACACATTGTTTCTGAAAGTTTTCGATAGACAGCGTGATGTTCAGAGTATTAAGTTTATGAGTGTTGGCTGACAGGTGGTTTTGTACGCATTTTACGAACCGGCTAAGCTGACGAGTGCTTCTAGTTGACACCCTATTTTACATGTTAATGCCTAAAGTTCATATGTTCATGCATCATCTATGACCAATAGAATACACATTACAATATGAAAGCACTGATCCAAAGGCTTCCATCACACTTAGGAAGAATAAACTGTTATCCACGATTTGTCTTCATAAATGTTCCTGGCTCGCCTTATATAAGTTTAACCCACTGAGGGGAACCGTAATTATTATACATAAACACACATCCTTATTTGCTCTTCTGCGAGGTCAAGAACACTAATGCTTAACTGGATAGAGCATCATTTTGGTAATACGGATGCCCTTCGTTGGAAATCCACAATTATATGATAAGAATAACTATTGTCACTGCAAAAATACACGTCGAAAACAAGTGCCATTACTTTTCTAAATTATACAAAGTATACAAGCACCAAAACATTACAGCATTATCCAACCAAAATAAAACCTTTCTATAGTTTGGTTTGTAAGGATTAGTTATGTTTTACGAGTTGATCATGGATTGACATCGCGCGTCGGTGGCACAGTGGTTAGGACTCTCGCCGACCATGCACATGGTCCGGGGTTCGAGCCCACGCCGACGCACACCTGATATCTATGGTCGGCCTGCGAATTTTGGGCTACCGATATCCACGCTGAAAATTCCGCACTTGTCCCAAAAATACGGTGTGGAATCAAGCTGTAATCGAAAATAAAAATAAAAAAAAAATAAATCACGAATTGGTAGAAGTTAGAATTCACGAGCCATCGAATCGGGTCCCAGTGGCTGAATGGCATACGAGCTTGCCTTGTAACCGGAAGGTCCTGGGTTCGAATCCCAGTGGGTGCGTACTTCCAATGATTCCCAAACTAGGATGAAGCAGCAGCTGTCCAATACTCCCTGGTTATCAATGTTACTCTAACTGATATGTATCCGTGATCAACTCGCAAAATGAAGCGATTATTCACTTGGTTCATCGTAAAGACAACTTGTATATATATTTCCTATTACGAACAGTCTAACATGGAATGGTACTCTAACTTCACCTGAAAGCGCTGAAAAGTGGATTTTATGGAGTAGTATGGTTAACGAATGATTAGTTATTTGGAGGTAATAATCAGCAACCTCTCTGTTGGTGACAACTGAATAAAGAACTAAAGACATGTGTGAAAAGAAGACAGCTGACTCAGCCGATCACGGAGATAAAGAAAGTGTCACAGCAATCAACTCTTCCCACACTTACTTATGGCTATAACATTGAATATTGTACAAGATGAGCGCGCCTATTAAATAAGGGTCATCCTGGGGCGTCAGTTGCCTGATGTCGCCCGAGGCCAAGGTTTTCACTCTTGAAGAAGTCAGAAAACATAATAGAGCGGACGATCTTTGGGTCATAATACATGACAAAGTATATGACCTGACGAAATTCGCGTCTGAGGTATGTCTTTAAAGGCTTTAATAAAATAAACAGCAAAAACGTTTTGCGCGTTGTGGGTACTTTCGAGAATGCCTAAACTTTCAAAGTTACTATCATCGCATTAAAATAGCTCAACGATTCCTAAAGATTGAAATTAACAACAACACGCGTCATACCATGTTAGCCTATATAATTACTGAATGTTTCATTGTGGTGCAGTTCCAATTCCCTGTTTAGTTTGCATATACTGTAGAGTATAAAGTCAGCAAATTTTGATTACATATAGACTATAGAATCAGAATAAGGTTAATATGCCGTTTGTTTGGGTAGGTATGTTATAAACACGTTTAGTGTGCTAATAGGCGAATCTAGCTTACTGATACCTTTCTGGCTTTTGAGGATTTTGGCCAATTTTTTTTCAGAAGCAAGTCAAAACTGAGTAATTCAGAAGTTGGTAGATGCAGTTTACTGTTCGTTTATAAAATGTCGCAATTATGTATGCCATATATTTACAGTACTCAGTTAACTTAAGAATACACATATTTCGTGATTACGCGAATAAACTCTGCCACAATTTGTTTTAGATCACCTCATAATAGGTAATGTACTCATGTAATCAAGTGGCTGACTAATCTCACTTTTAATGCCCCATAACATCTATCTGATGAGTAATTTAAGGCGAATATTTGATTGAAGTGCGGCCATATAGTTAATGAGAATAATCCATCTTTCAATTGTTGACTTCAATCTATGCCCACATTAGAACCTCATCCATTTGTGTCCGAATATTTCGGAACAATAATCAAATCACCTCAAAGGTTTCATTTTTTAAAATTTGTAATTGATGTGCAAATGCATTTGTTTCCGTTGTCATTTTGAACTAAATAGATGAAATTGCATCTGCTGTCTGTAACTCACTGATGGGTGGTACGTCCATAATACTGAGTTCAAAAATAACATTAGCATCGTCATATTTTCTAGGATATGTATTCTGATACATATTAGTATTGGTCGAGTACCTCGAGTGCGTGCAACTATCATATCAAAAGCTGACGAGACTTTCCACTGTTCATTCTGTAACAATCCCAGAACATCATTGTGATTTTCTTGATTTGAGGCGAAGGCTCTAGCTGGCCAGATTTAAAGGCCAAAAGAAAGTCATTAATATAATAACAAGTGTACGCAATCGTATTACAGTAAATTCTGGGTACAAGCATAACAGACCGAGTAGAAAATAGTAAGTCTACTCAAAAGTTGTGAACATTGGTGAGTAGGAAACTCGATGTAGTGAGTGTTGTGAAAATGTGTGGTAGTTTAATTTGCTCTAGTTACTTGCAAACCAACGCATGGGCAAATAATTGATTACCAGAATACAATAATTCAGAATCGACATTCTTATTTTATATACATACATGTATGTATATATAAAATATGTATGATATGGATATCCTTGTTTTCCCAATCTAGCATCCAGGGGGTGAGGTCGTGTTAGAAGAACAAGCAGGTAACTATGCTACCGAGCCATTCGAAGATGTTGGACACTCATCAGATGCTCGTGAAATCATGGAGCAGTATTACATAGGCGATATAGCACCTGTATGTTGTTTTTAACCAGTACTAATTTAGATTTGATTATAGGCAGATCGTGAACGTAAAAGCAAATTTACTTCGTCTTTCACTATGAAGAAGTCAGACAGTTTTAGGTAATTTTTTATCATTTTCGTATGATTTTCATTTGTCACTCGGATTCTTATTTCCTGTGTTATTAGTATTTAGCTGTGGCTGATTGTTTTTCACTAGCCGCGTATATGTACAACATACATTAAAATACCTCCCCTAGACCATGCTGGAATAAAATTGCTATGCCCCACCCTGACAAATTTATTAGTTCTAACATCTTCCTTATATAAAAAATAATACAAAGAAACAAAATTTTGCCCTTATTTTGTTAGAATCGTGTACATTGCATATCTATATGCCTCAGCAATAATATTCATTTCCGCAAACCTAAAATGTACTTGACTCATGAATGCTTTTGACTTTGATCGTCTTAGGTAACGTAGCTAAAGTAGACTTCATGATTCATAATTCGTGATCTACTCACTACCATAAACTAATGCTTTGTATCCCCCACTTATCAACCGATACACAAGTAGTTTGCCAGTAGTTTGATGTTCTACGGGGACTCACTTCATATTCCCCATGCCTGTCTTTTACTTGGCAGTATGTAAAAATCACCTACAAATAACCTAATATGCTTCAGAGTGGGCGGCCCCTTGTCCTCCCGTTACATGTCTACACGTCCGTAGCCTCTTCTGGGTAACCCTTATCCAATAAGTTTACGCAAAGGAGATTTGACTTTCATCACCCTATTGTTGGGCAAGGGAAAGTGTTAAAAACATCAGATTTACAACAGTGCATAACATGTAGTGAAAAAGTCTACTAGTATAATTGAAAGTTACAAACTGCGTGCAAATAGATGTGATGTTCCTCTAATCTTCTTGTTGGATTATTCGTCCGAGTTTATTAAGTGGATAACATTACACCTAATTTATCCACTAAATTCTGTTCTTGTAAATATAGAAATGATGATACTTAGTCGTAAATAACAGTATCGGTTCGCTGTTGGATAAAATGTGAAATCGTGAGTCTTTACTACAAAAAACATTGCTATCATAATTGGTAGTTTCTGCAATGTTGTGTCACTGAAATGTCCTTTAACACTATACCTTTAAGCTGTAGTTGCTTTTAAATTTCCCCTTCTATGTCCAAACTAACCTACTACTACTAGTTCGTTTAAGTAGTCAAGCAGTAACAATTTTGATATGCACTGGGTTACTAACAGTGAATGCATGTTGAGTGTTTCTGTAACTTTAGCATACCACTTAATATTCCGCCTGCTTGACAACTGAACTCTGAAGATAAACCTAATGTGAATACTCATCCAACTGGGTTCAGCTAATTCGGTTTATGTTACATCACATAGAGTTTTATTTTCATTCCCTAGATAATACTGTCTTCGAAAGCCTTCATATCATAGAAAGCGGTCTATTATTTTGCATCAAATAAGCATCATATACTGTAAGATAACAGTATATTCTTGTGTTTCCTTTGTACCCACTCTTCTGAGTGAACAAATGTATTCAAGTATTCAGCAAAACTTCTTTTACTCTATTCACCTTATTACTTACTTTTTGCAGACCGTATAAATAAGTAACTACTCTATCCATTTATCTATAACTGCTGGCCATAGATAACCAATGGTTTGTCTCAGATGCAAAATTCAAATGGCATTTCACATCTGTTGGTTTGTACATGAGAATAGTAATAGAATGCGGTAAAACATTTCTGTTACAGGGACATTACAAATAGGAATACAGATAAATGGAATAATACAGCACCTATTGCGAAAAGAATTGTCAGGAATCAAGAGCAAACAATTACATAACACTTCCAACACTGACTGAGTTATGCAGTCATTGATGTGTGATATCTGCAAAGCCTTGATAATTTAGTCTACATCCTGCTAGGTGAATAAAATCAATAACTTCGTACCAACCCTGTGACAAGTAGTATTCTGTGTCTAGGTAAAGGTAAGCTCAGCACAAAATGACTGTTGTTCTTCTCTATATTAAGGTAGTTGTCGGCACTGAAATTCCATTTTGTATCCAATTCTGCAGTTATTGAAACAATAACGTCTGAGGAAAATGCATTAGTCTAATTCATGACCTCTCTCAAGTTACGTATAAAATGAATTACCTTGTATGGATAAACCTCTATGGTACTAGTTGGGTAAATGAATTGTATATATGCAAGCTCCACAATTAAATCGATGTGATCCCGGTATATTTGTTTTAAAAATTAATTTGTTTGGTGTATAAATAAGAATTCTGTTTTGTGATCTCTCGTTTGCTATCTTTGTTGTAATGTTATAATGTAGTGTAATTATAAAATTAATGCCATTCCAAAATATTTTAGTTGTTCTTTGCGCACAAGTTGTTGATAATATTTTGTGTTACATGCAGAGATTTGAATAACAGATTAAATTTATTATTTTATTTAAATTTATTTTTATGAATTTTAGCATTACTGCTTGGACTGGATTACTTATTCCGGTTGGTGTGTTGGTAGCAGCAATCATTGTGTATAAATTTTTGATGTGAACCCTTGTAGAAGCATTTTCCTCATGTTTCAGGACCGTGATTTTGTTTTATGTATTAACCTCTGTCTGTATTATTCGTACTTATGTGTCTTTGTACTTTTTGTCATTTGCTAACCAAGCGACTATAAAAACGTAAGAAGAATAATGAAAACATGGTTAGTTTTGATATAACTAGTCTTTACACCAATACACCAATCAATATGTACTTAGAAGCGGTTAAAAGAGAACTAACTTCTGTTCCCGAACTTAGTCATAGGAAAAAGCTGCCCATTGAGAAAATCATTTTAGGCATTCAGTTATGACTCACATCTATCTTTAAATTCTAGGGCGAAATATATAGACAAACAGGTGAAGCAATGAGAAAATATACCTCTTTATACATGTAATCCTACTCCGAACATATGGTGGAGATATATGGATGAAACTTTCACAGTGTTGAAAACAGAACTACCTCCAGTTTTTTTAAACACATATAAATTCACTAGTAAAGGGAATGAAATTCACATTTGGATCGGAAAATGGACAAGAAGAGTTAGCTATTTTAGACTGTAAAATAAAACGAACAGGAGATAAACTGCACACTAGCGTTTATAAAAAGCCAACGCATTCTAGTAGGTATTTAGACTTTAATTCATCTCATCCGTTGTCTGTAAAAGCAGACCTAGTTAAGTGTCTAACAAACCGAGCATTAGCACTAAGTAGCACAAGAAGGGACCTAAACGATGAAATGAAACAAACGGAAGAGGCGTTGGTGTTAAACAACTAACTATCCTATAAAATTCATTAGGAAGATCAAGAAGGCTCAGCAGTAAAATAAAAGTAATGATGAAGCTAATAATGATAGCATAATTAAGAAGGAATATATTGCATCTACAGATTTATCAAGTAACGAGGGGACATCTGAGATCCTACGTAGGATTCTCAATAAAGCAGAAATCAGGGTGGCATTCAAACCTACGAGCTCACTCAGAGACAAGCTATGTAGGCTAAAAGACCCAGTGGACCCAATTAAACAAAACAATATATTTTACAAAGTACCTTGCAATGACTGTGAGTAAGGCCAACTAAGTAGGTCAAACGAGTAGGTTGGGAGTAGTGAGACTGTTAGAACATAAGAATTCAGCCAAGGTTAGAATGATCGATCCTACAAAGATAAGTAATTTAGAAAAAATACTCAGGAATCGCACCGCGTGCACTAAGACAATAGGGTGAGTTGGATAGAGTCGAAATTCTAAAAAGTAATATAGGTAGGAGAGAGAGATTGATTACTGAATCCTGCCTGGTTCATCGAGTCTACACCCAACACATGCAACAAAAATAACTCAACGCAAATACCAGAGATATGGAAGATATTATTACCAGTCAAGTCAGAGGATAGTAGATAATATTAAAATGTATTCAATTCACATTATAACATTCTAACAAGTTATTTATTTGTTTTACTATAAAAACCATTTTATTTCCCATCTTGTTGTATTTTATTGATAACACTGATATTATCTCCGAATGTACTTTATCTTATGTTGATTTTATTCAAATGTCTAGTCATCGATTTTTACTTATGTATATAAATGAAGCAAGAAAGTTATATGAGTGACTTGATATGATTATGAACAATTTGTGCTCGAAACATGGTCATTAGTAAATACTACTGTATAACACTGTGTGATTTAATCAAAATAAAATTTTACCCAAAATGGAGTTATACTCTACCACAGTGCCCAAGTTTTATCCTTGTAGGAGTTTATTTAAATGTACTACAATTTGTCTTCTGTTTTAAGTATGCTTCGTGTGCATGTTATTTGTATGTGTGTGTGTGTGTGTGTGATTTTCGAATTATATGCAATTTCAGTCATGATATTCGTTAGTATAATTTCTCAAAGTATTCGCTCAGAAACTGTGATTATCATACCTACCTTTATTGGTTGTATTCAGTCTTCGTATTACTTCATCCTATATGAACAGCTTCTATTACGTAATAACTCTTTAGGTCTAATGTGGGAAACTTTGGAAGCCAGTCATGTAGTGCATGATCTTTACCTGCAACTAAGTTTCTTTAGATTTTCCTAGCTACCGGCAATGGAGAAATAGGTGGACATACTTTTTTACACTTTTATATTTAGTCAACTAGAGGGGAGAAAGATACCTGTATAATCTTCAGTTTACTGGTGACGTCTTCCTGAGATGACCGCCATACCTTCTGTCTGGAGAAGTAAGAATTTGTGGGGTTTCTTCTGTTCGGAAACCGCAGATTATGGACTGGTGCATATTAACACTGTTTTTAGGAGGTGCCCTGCCACTCCTCCTTCGTCGGTGACAATGATCACACAAGAGAGGTGCCTTAGTGCTGTTACCTGCTCTTTTCCAGCTGAGCGACTTTACCGTCTGACATTTACGTAGCAACCAGTTTTTCTTATGACGGTAATCGTTTTTGGTCCAGCGGATGAGTAATCTCCATACACAGGCTCAGTCATCACATCATGGTGGCAGATATCAAGTTGGGTCGTTTGATTATCAGTCGTATTTCCCGCTGTTTCACCCTTATGCTGTAAATTCCAGCTTCATTTTTTAATGTATTTTGATTCTCAATTATCAAGTGCATTTTTGTATTATAGGTTGCATGCTAGATCTTTAAAATGAGATTAACAGGAATTTTGTACGGGAAACGCATACGTCATGACAAACTCCAGTTTTTAACCAATCGTTATTGGCGTAAGGTGGGTTCTAAATTGTCAGTTGACTGTTTACGTGTTCCTGAACAAATTTTAAATGATTCAAACAGTCCTATAAAAGAAGCGGAAAACATGTTCAGATCAACCAGATATGATGATGATCTGTTAAAAGAGATTGAAATTGGAATCACTTCAGATGAGGCGTATGAAATAGAACAGCAAAGAGCTAAAAAATTACAGTCTTTTAATCCTCTTTACGACGATCCTCGTTTCCATCAAAACTCTGAATCATCTTTGGTCTTTTCTCAGAAACGGCGCTTTTCAAAGGGTGTGGATCAAGCGAGTCTTCTCACAAACGTAAGATTTTTTTACGGTTTCTTGTTTTTATTGTATTAAGTTCCAATATTATGTGTGTAATATCAATCAGTTACCGCGTAGTTTAATTTGAAACGTTCTGTATTCCTTTTGCACTAATTGTGCAAATTGTTTAGTCTTCGAAATGTTAATTGAATGGACGATGTTTCAACTCCATGCCTCTATTGCAGTTGGGTTGTTGTGCACAGACTTTGTCACTACCAGCTGCCTCAGTAGTATCAGTTACCGTGTTAGTAAAGCATTCACTGGTTAGTCTGTTTTAGCAAAGTTATTTTTAACTCCCTGATTACTTTAACTTATGTGATGTTACCAGATGTAGTCAAATGCAGTTCATGGTTTTAGTGAAATTAGTATACACTTAAATAACTGAACACAATACTTGAAATACAGACTTGCTGATGATCCTTTGATTTCAAGAAGGATTTATGGCTGAGCTTCGTATCACTTTCTACAGCCGACAAATGATCAACGGATGTGTGAAGGATAAACTACCGCTTTGGGCCACCTCAATGTGTGTTTATAAATTCACCTGCTCGTGTGGAGCTAGTTATATTGGCCTCACTAAGCGCCCGCTTTCCATAGATCATATCTTCACTCTTCGACAGATTCTAGAACATAGACACACTTTTCGGCGTCCAACAATTGTCATATTTCTTGACTTGAAGGCGGCCTTCGACTCCGTGGACCGAAAAGTACTATGGCAATGTCTGACTGTGAAGGGAGTGCCAAGAAAGTACATTGCACTAATCAAGGCACTCTATTCAAACTCACGTAGTCGTGTAAGGGCTTATGGGGAATTGTCATCTGAATTAGTAACAACCAGTGGTGTCCGACAGTGACATCACTCGTACCAAATTCCCATGAAACTTCATGAACTCTCTTACAAATTGCCGCGCCTGGGCAGCCCATCCGGTTATCAACCAAGGGACGTGTGTACTGCTCATCAGTTCGCTCCGTCCTTCTCTATGGCTCTGAAACATGGCCAATACGCGTTGAAGACATGAAAAGGTTGACTGCTTTCGATCATAGATGTCTGCGATCTCTTTCTCACGTTAGGTGGTTTAATAAGGTAAGTAATGTTGACGTTAGGCGTAGAGTATTGGGCAAAGAGGGAAAATCAATTGACGAGGCTATAAAGTTACATAGACTAAGATGGCTAGGTCACGTGGTGCGCATGCCTAACCACCGCCTCCCCCGACGGGCTTTGCTAGCTGATATAGGTTCAGGTTGGAAAAGAGCCAGTGGTGGCCAAACAAAAACATGGCATCAATCCATGAAATCCTTGACAGTTAAACTAAGTCAGGTAGGGAGATGCAGACTCCCGGGTTGGGGCCCTCGGGACTCTAGGAATCAATGGCTGGAGACAATAGGTGACATGGCTCAAAATCGTTGTCAATGGCGCAGATGTATTCAATCTCTGTAATCTTTCATATTCCTTTCTACTATTACCCATTCTGTTTCACTCTTATATTTGTCAAACTCTATTAATTCTCTCCACTCATCTTCTTGTCTACCTCTGTGTGCTATTTGGAACGTGGCAACTCGAACTGCTGCACTTCGGTGCCAAGTTCTATGTTGAATCCAGACAGACAGAAACGGATCTCTGAACATTATCCGGCTTGGTTAACAAAGGGACAATGTAAGACAATTACTAGCTCAATTCTCGAGCATTTGGTGAACTCAAGCCACGTAGCTCCACCAGAGTCGTCTTTCATGATCATCTACAAAGTGAAGCGAAATGGTACAAAGGGCGTCAGGTTTTGGCTTTTGTGTATGGTGGAGGCGCTGGCAATTCAGCAATACAACCCTGAACTCTGTATGCAGGAAAAGTTTGTCCAGTCTCTTATTCTACCTTGGTCTTAACCTCTTCACTAATCGTTCCCTGTAAAACATTTTGATTTTTTGTTTTTAATTTTACTTTTAGTTTGCTTTTGCTTTAATAGTTAATTCACTATTATCAATCTCATATTCTCCTTTTCTACCTTTATTCTCACTCAAGAGCAATTTTAACCCTATCAAATTTCTATCTTTGTGCCGTTGAGTACCACGTAATTTACAACTTTTAATTTTCACTTCTAAAGCCACTTATGAACAATCATATCAATTATGTCACCCCCTATTACTCAATAATAGACCACTATATATTTTTGTAACTATAAATACGGCTGTACAGCCTCTGAAGATGATTTCGTCGATAAGGAAAATTTTCGCTGAGTTTGTCTTTTATTTTCTTAAAGAAAATGGTTAGTTTATGTTATGGTTATATCCTTGAAAAGCCTTATTCATTTATCGTATTGTATATTGCATAAAAGAAGGCTTAATGCCAGTAATTACTCTCCATTTACGGTCCATCCAAATATCCACAAATCCAAGCGGTTGTATGTAATACGGAACCTCATATTGTCGTAAAGGAGTGTTTGCGATTTGTTGGTTGTTGTCTAACTTGAATAGAATGGGCCTCCAGTCACGACACTGTAGCCAACCGATCACTCGGAAATATTCCTCACACTGAAGTAGACACAAGTCAGATTTAACTGACACAACTCCGGCAACAACTTTTCCATAAACAATACAGAGTAAATTATTTTTAAGACATCAACGGAATTTTAAACCGTAGATAAACAATCAATATCTGATTGACTGCATCGATCATGACTTTACGGCTAACAAACATAATCCGTACTAACACCGCTTTTTCTAAAAGATTTTCAGTTTGGGGACCACTGGAAGATATGCATAGGTCTGTATGTGATACCTCCCCCTCGAAATAGTGTGGGGTCTTTGCTTGGTGCATGGTTGACTTCACTAGCGTCGGTGGCACAGTGGTTAGGACTCTCGCCGACCATGCACATGGTTCGAGGTTCGATCCCATGCCGACGCACACCTGATATCTATGGTCGGCCTGCAAAATGTGGGCTACCGATATCCACGCTGAAAATTCCATACTTGTACCAAAAATACAGTATGGAATTAAGCTGTAGATAAAAAAAGTCATTACATTGTTCCTTGGTCAGAACTAAACATTTGCTGCAGATATTGAACACTAATGCTTTTTTCCCCAAAAGTGTACAAAGAATTCGGATCGTTTCATCAAAACCAGTATCATGAGCAAGTACTCCCCAATTTGATTAATGCCGAACAGATCCAAACTATGATGTTTGGTAAGGTAACATAAATCTTCAAAATTCTTCTAAATGATTTCTTCATGAGCTGACATTAGTTAGAGAACCATCGGAAAACCTGGGAGTACTGGACAGCTGAATAAATTGGACATCACGAGAGATTTCACCAGCTAAGTTCAAAATATTTACAGAAACATGTCTAACAACATAGCACGTAGTGAGCACTGGAGAGAATTCTTCCTCCTCCTCTGAGATTGGAGAAAGTGGAGTGAAGATCTGTACACTTGAGCTGACCATATCTCCTGGTTTTGCACAAATAGTGCTTTCATTAGACATTAAAAGTAATCGTGGTTTACATAATTTTGGTTTCTTACTTCCACATTTTTTTCACTTTTTCCTACTTTGTCTATTTTCTCCCTTTTCTATTTTTCTATTGGTGTTGTGCCTTATACATTTAGTATGTTATCTTGTTTACCTGTCTCAAGAACACCTTGACTTCATGTAGATCGCTAGTTCCTCACTTTACTCTAAGTTCCTTTCCTTACTCCACGTGACTTCCTTTTACTGGTTCTAGTGAACAAGTGTAAGAGGTGTATTATTTCTTCATCAGTGCACTTAGCGTCGCTTCGAAAAATTTACATTGCACTTCTAAAGATATATAGATTTTTTTAGAACAAATCGATAAATGACTCACTTTTGGCACTGAGATTTCACAGCATATTTTAATGACTAATAGTTTAACTTTAACGAGTCACAAATTATTTTGACTCTAATGTTAAAAAGATACGGGTTCGAGATCGATTATTTAGAGTAAATTTTCAATAGTATGAAGGTTGTTAGGTCAATAATTCTCGAGTAAATGTTACTTAACTAATACATGTGAAAGTTATACTGTTCGACTGTTGTAATATATCTAACAAACAGTTTACTGATTCCCTTTAAAATTGTTCTACAAGCAAATTAAAGAGTAGTTTGCAAATCGAAAATAAGCAAACCTCGAATGTCTAATCATTTTTACTCACTTCAACTTCACATCTATTTGCTTTATGTTTAAAGCTGACCTATAGTATTGTCTTTTTCTTCTGGTCTCAATTCTTATGTGTGATATAGTTCATTAATCTAAATTTATATACCACCACCTGCTCATATAACTTCTAACATCGACTGCTGATATCACGTAACTAATTACAAGTTTCTGTGTCTGTTTATGCGGGTTTATTTTGTATTTCGAGTCAAAATAATTACAAATTTTCATAGGTGGTAGAAAGCGTGTTGAATTTTCACACCTCTTCAGATATATGGTTTCTAGTCATCACGTCTAACGCAATAGAGATATGCGTTTGAATAATCTAGGGGACTGGAGTCCCAATCACCTGGGCATGAGTCCCAACTCCAGACATTATCACAAGCTCCCACATAATTAGGACTAATTGCCAACTGCACAGTAGTGCAAGTGGTCGCTGCATAATCGAGTAATTTTGCTTAATAAAATGGATGTGGATATTGTATTATTTATTTAATAATGACGTTTCGGACACAATTTATTTCTCATAATCATACCAAGTGGTTGTGGATCTGCATTTCATTTTGATGTATATTTTCTTTATTGCCCTGTTACTTTTTTTCTCTAACTATTTTTATTTATCGTTATTTAGACTGCTGTTGCGTTCGCTGCTCCACCTACTCTGAACAATCTTATTCAAAAGATAGGCCGGATAAATGAACAAGTAAATTCAGATAACTCGACTGCGGATTGGAGATCTTACTTACGCTTGGCTATTGAACGCTCAGTTTTACATGCTCATGTTTGGCAAACAGATGAAACTAAATTACCCAAGCGATTTCGTCATAACTTACCTATTTGGAAGCATAAACCAGAGTTCGGCATTCACCCAGAACAAAGTACTCGTTACTTGTTTCAAAATTTATTTCGCATATTAGAATTTCAGGTTAGTCACTTTTATTAAGGATCACATTTCTTACAAATTGTTCCACTTCAATAGTGAATAAGTACGCTGAATAGTTTGACGAATTCAAAGTATTTCCGCTTCAACTAAAATCGTGAATTTTAAAATAGTTTAGGATAGCTGCAGTCCCAGTTAATTTACTGGCACACACTAAAGCATGACCAGAATCCAAACAAGTGCACCAAAAGGGGCGGCAGTCATTTTTACCCATGCCGTCGGTAGCTAATAGTAATGTGATCTATTTGAATTAAGTGACAGAAGGAGGACACTCTATAGCGTTACGACTGGTTTCAGAAAAGGTCCCTAATATCTTATTTGCAACCACCTATTCTCCATACACCACTTAAACTGTTCTCCTGTAAACCCAGATGCTCGAGTCCCCAAAAGGCACTTCGATATCTGTCGAACACTCATACCAGAGAATCTCACTCAGTTTATAGTACAACCCATCCGTTGGTACATAGGCAGAGATAACGAAAAGGCGATACGAGGTGCTTCTTGCTTTATTATAATCTCTTAGCCTCACAAGCACCTAAACGACTGTTAGTGGGGAGTAATGCGACTCTGACAGTAGCACTTAGTGCGACACCGACACCAGTCAGGCTGCATGCCAGTAATACAGGATCTCTGGATAAGTGCACGTGGAACTGTATTCATTCTTGCAGATGAAGAAGATATTCGAAGCAGTCCATTGGAATCTCTGATACAGTATACACCATTAGTAAGGCTTTTCAGGTGTCTTGCCAGACCTGCCGATTGTCCGATTCGCATCAGCGTGCAAACGTAGGTGGCGAGTTTGAACGCGACATGTAGTTTCAGAATAGCTTTGTTACATATTCCAATGGACGCCAGTTTTCTGAAAGTAACTAATTGGCAACTCCAAACGATACGTATAGACTGAGACTTCGGACAAGAGCTAACGACTGGCGAAATTAAGGATACTAAGAAGCGTAAAGACGACTAAAATAAAAGTCTAACAAAATGGTGTATGTTTTGAGAATCGAAATGCGATAATGAATTGCACTGTCAAATAATATGATCGACAAAGCAGTTTGTGAGTTTGCATGTGGACAGAGTTTTCCATAGATTATTGTTCCATAGTTTGTGAAGGATGGCATGCTGTGTGGACTCATTAACAGGTGTAGGGTTGTCTTAAGCAACCGCCTGAATTCTGATCCCCAACGTAGAACGTCGTCACCGGCAGCTGCTTTCTTATTTATATGATGACCAAATACGTTAACATGCCATTCTTTCATTTTGGATTATGGAGCCCATTTACACTAAAGATTTGGAATCAGGGTTTTACAGTTCCTCTAGGCGGATATCTGTGTTCACCAGTCCGGTGATAAGCATGATAGGATCCCACGCACTTTGTTACTGATCAATTATTTCAACGGCTGTTAATCTAGCATAAATGGTATATCATCATTCACACGCACTTTGTTATTGACTGTTAATCTCGCATAGATGGTATATTATCATTTCTCACGCACTTTGTTATTGACTATTACGATCAATTATTTCAAATGCTGTTAGCTGTCTATATTGTTGTGAAAATGTATAAATACCATGACTTTCTTTGTCGTAGTTGTTGTACTACAATACACAGTCACAGTCCAGCCTTTGTCTTTTGATATTTGCGTGCTTCACTGAATCGGAAGGTACCACAAGCAGATAGGCATATTAGTCAGGCGCAGACAGAACAAGGCGACAACGTCCTCATTTAATTCCCTACCGTTATAACAAAGCACCAACCATTTGCTCTCTCACTTTTGGGTGAATATCCAAATCTTCATGAAGGTAGTGAATATAACTTGCCCTACAAAGGCTGTGAGCGCGTGACGAGATGAAAGCATTCCGAAGAAAAGACTGGAGTGTACACATCCCCGTCAAAACCAAGTCATTTACAGATCAATTCTAAGATAAGAGCTCACTAGTAGTTAAACAGTACTATAAAGTTTCGTTTTCGAGAAATTGACTACAACTGTGTAACTATGTGTTTTATCCTGTTTAATTTTATTATACTTAGAATTCTGTATTCTGGTGGATGCGGTTTAATTTCATATATTTTGAGATCATAGTTATTACAGTGATAAAAGTAATGTTAGAAATAAATTTAGCTTAGTTCAATTTCCATCCATTTCACTACTGATGTTTACAATTATTTAACTTTTATTTTATTATGTTGTTTGCACTGTCTACATATATTTTTTAATAAGTGAAATTATTTTTTATCTATGCACTACAAAATCTGACTTTTTCACCTATGTCTGAATTTTAATAAGGTAGACGTTTTCATAGAACTGTGAATAATAATAGACACATTTTCTTGACTATATTAATTTTTCTGAAATAGTTGAAATTACTTTTTCTACAACAGTTAATATATGATTATTCCAGTCATAATAAACCATAAACCACTGGTTATCTATTTGGTTTGATGATTACAATGACTCTTTATCGAACTCATACTTCGTCATTTCCAATCCAGTCGTGGTTGACTAGCCCTCGACGAATTTCATGTACATTAATTTTATCAAGTAATTAAAAACTTGGCTGATTCTTTGCACGGGAAATAATAATGACCATTAGAAATCCATTTAAAAGTCATGCTTCATACGCACACTTACATTGCTGATCATACTATTGGTTGCCAAGACTTTAGGATTTAGACTTCCAATACTAATAATATTAACACTAATAACAATATCTTCATTCTGAAAAACGGCGTAACATAATTCTGTTCGTCTTACCACCATTTAATTACTACTAGTGCGGAATCTCCAAATAAAATCAATAATATGTCGTTTGAAGCAATATTGTTCTATTCAAAGAACGTCCCCATACTTTAGAGCGCCCCCCCTTTCCTTCGAAAAATTCATGAGTAGATTAAAACCTACCTAGAAATGAAGGTGATCACAAACTACCATTGAAGGATGTAGCTGGAACATTCAAATAATATTAACTAATGTAAACTTGATGCATTTTTCTGGATGGAGAATTAAGCAGCATGGTGATGGGTTGCTGTGATACCGTGTGCATATTTATTCATTCGATAAAGGAACCATATGGGTTATTTGGGAGTTATTCAAACACTGGTTGGTGAACTGTGACTCACTAGTTGTTAACATGGTTCTTAGATCAATAATTCGTATCCGCATAACCTTTGTCAGGTAATTTTTACTGGAACTTGGTATTAGCGTTGTTATTATTACTGTATCTTTAAAATTAGACAGTTTCACAACCGTAACCAAACTGGAAGATTTAATTTGAAAGCTTACAAAATATCCACTTTCAGACCAGTTGTTAATATTACAATCAACATTTGTTCACAATAGCGTTGACCAGTACGTTTTATGAGAAAAATAATATGTCGCATATAAAGATAACATCTCATCGATGAGCTTTGAATACTTTTTTTCATTCCTTTTTGGGTTAAATTGTTATCATATATTAAAGCTAAGTTTGTTGATACCTTGTTTATAATTTGTTTTTTTATCACATCACTGTTGCCATGATATACTGGACTGGTTAATAAGTCATATTGCAAATAACTGATAATAGTCATTTTCAGATGCTGAGTAATCTAAATAATAGCTTGCGTAAATGTCACAAAACGATGACTGCATTCGATAAAGGTTATTCCACAGAGTCATGTTTTCATCATCATCTGATATTGTGACTCTTCAAAATCATGCTTTCTGCTTTGTTATAAATTACCTTAGATACCTCATTACATTAAGTATGCGGAATTATCTCCTGTTCAAAATAAGCTGTCTAACAACTTACCCTGTCGATGGACAACGCGAGATCGATTGCTGGAAACATATTATTACTGGGGTCCACAAAAACGTCGCATCAGTTTTTCTGAAGAACATGATCTGGTGGTATTTGGACAAACACCTGCGCCTGTGTTCGTATCTGACATCAATACTATTCAGAAAGCTAGTGAAGCAGCTACAATGCCTGTTAAAAGTCTTGGCCCTATGTCGCCTTTAATAGATCTAACCAGTACTTTGTATTACATGGATAATAGTACAAATGGTTGGATTGGTAATCAGGTAAGCCGTGTCACACTACTCATACCATATTATTATTATTATTATTATTATTATTATTATTATTATTATCATTCTTAAGTGAATATGATAATTCCTACTATATCAAAGTCGGTTACCCTGTAACGTTGTGTCCTCTGTGATAACACATTCAGTGAAAAAATATATCCTCCTCTTCACTCACTTCCTCATCATCGGCTCTACACTAATATATAGTTTTCTACATCAAATTTTTTTACCAATCAAGTGGTTATTTTAGTGAATCAGTTTTAGGTATAGGTAGAGGTGAAATTAAGAGGTTAAAGGTCACCAAAACAAATAACTAAAAAGGTGTTAGTAACAAGATATCTAAGTTCTAAAAGGGAGGCGAAAATTAATTACGGAATTCAAGATGAGTTGATTCTTAGGCGTTGGCAACAGGTTATTACACAATCAATAGATTTTCAAAATAGTAATGATGACCAAGAAGAATAGAATGACTCAGAAGAGTTACGTGAAATACAAACAAGTTAATAGAATTAGCTAGAACTGTACAAATTAACAAAATCAAAAGATAGTTACAAGGAGAGGAGAGAAATCGTTACACATTTCTTTTGACCACATAGATTTGGCCTGTTCGGGTGAATTTCGATTGCCTCTTCTGTATGTAAAAGTCGTACTCGTGAACCATGCGAGAGGTTGGGTGATATACGATAAATAGCGTTAAAAGCTTTGTTAGAGTCGATTTGATGTCCAGTATCGACGAGATGAGCCAGTTTTGAGTTGCGAATAGTATTATTCAGACCTTTACCAATCCAAGATGGGAGGTGTTCAAAAATTCGACGATGAACTAGCCTAGTCGTACGCCCTATGTAACTAGCTCCACACATGGAAGAGGCGAAACAGTGCAGTCTGTTTTCATTTCTTGAACTAAGCATTGGTCGGCTAGTGAATACACAGCATAGCTTAGCTGCATAGAAATTCCTTTTGAAGGCCCATCTCAGACGGTGTGATAAGATCTCACTATCGACACCACCCGTGAATTGTAACCTTAGGAAGATTGACTTTTTGGGGACAAACAGCAACTTCGACTTTTTTACTTTGAGTTCATGTGTTTGTTTACGAATTTAGCTGGATATCCGTTTATACTCAGTAAATCGCGAGTATTACCGAACTCTTCGTTCAGTGTCTCATTTGAATAGATAACTATAGCCCGGTGAAGAAGACATCTAACCAGATTACGTTTGTATTGTAGAGGTATGAAGCTCAGGAAGTGAGCATATTGTCCAGTGGAAGTAGGTTTTTTATACAAACGTCTACATATTGTTCCGTCTGTTCGTTTAGTCATTAGGCTGTCCAAAAAGGGGATATAGTCATTTTCTTCTTCTGCCTAAATGAAGCTTATGCTGGAATGTGCTCTATTGAATTTGTCCAATATGTCCTTGGTCTTACTTTCTTTCTTGACAACTATAAGTGTATCATCAACATATCGGCGATAGAAATCAAGATTACTTATTACATCTTTAAGTGGGCCATTCTGTAGTTTCGCCAGGAAAAATGTGCTAGGATTGGGCCGTAGTGGTGATCCCATGGAACCGCCGTCTGACGATCTATACATTTCCTGTTCGATGAGGAAATGTATAGGTCCTCAGACGGCGGTTCCATGGGATCACCACTACGGCCCAATCCTAGCACATTTTTCCTGCCGAAACCGTACAAGAATGTCCTGTAAAAATTTGAGCACTTACTCTGACTTGTATCATTATAAGGTTATTTCAAATAGCCCTAGCGTGTTTAGAAAATCAAGCAAAGGTCAAGTAAAGTTTATTTTATTTTATGTGCTGTGTACTATTCGGTTTTTAATAAAATCTGAATAATCCTACCGAAGAAGCTATGGTGACTACAAAGCGGAATTTTCTGAGAAATCTTGTTTTGTTTTTCGAAAGGCACCATGTTTACTTTAGATGATTGTATGATTACTGTATCACTTGAATTCTGCTGCATATAGTCTCTGCATCATCTCTTCTCTATTTTTGTGTGGTTTATGGAGTGTCACAACTTGAACTGCCACACCTCTGTGCAAAGTTCCGCGTTGGAATCTTACACAGTCACCGTACTATCGTAAATACATTTTAATTGCTTATTACAATTAAAGTGTTGTTGAATCTCTTTAGTAGCTGTAAAACTGATAACAGTCGATTAGGAGATAAGAATCCTTGGCATTTCAGTACCATGACTTCAGATATGTGCTTATCTTCTATCTGTGTTCCTTTAAACCTTTTGTCATTTTTCACTACATTGTCTACTCGGACATAAGATCACACTTAGTATATTCAACTCATTTTAGGAGTGATTTCTTGAGTCATATGAAGCTAATACAAGAAATATCACTGCACAACAGGTATAAACAATACCCTTCTCTAAATTCAATTTTCCCTATGTGCAGTTAAAATTACACGCTGAACTAAATGTATCCGTAAGAGAAAATTATCATGACTACTAGAATTCCAAATTGTTTAACTGACGAAATTTTCAACGTACAACTTTGCATCAAAGTGTTACAGTTCATAAAAGCCCATATAAGGGTGGGAGAGACATGCAAAGAAAGTATATTTAAAAAAAAACTATTGTTCAGGAGAAGGAAAAATTACATGGAGTATAATAAATCTTGGAGAGTACAAAGAACAAATCCATCCTTTGGCTTTAAAAACGATTCTGAGACATGCTTTCATCACTCACTAATCATTGACTGAATGTAGAGTCCTCCTGGATGAAGACGCCGATAAAATGCAAAGTCCCCTGAACACCTTAATCAACAGTCTTCGAATGTTTGTCATACAATTTGCTCCTGTAAAATGTAAAATGTTTTTCGATTAGTGCCCTACATTTACTTATTTACATAAAGCTCTCATTTCTCTGGTGTTTCTGACCAGTAAGTTGTAGAATTTATTGTAATTCGTTTACCTTCGAACACTGAGTTTTTGGATATAATCTTGTTGACTATTAAAACCACTAACCAACTATTTGGCATTTTCTGACTGTTTAACATTAACCAATATCAATAATTGTATGTATTATTGGATTTACATGCCCAAGTTGACTCAAGGCAGTGAGTCTGTTGTTTTCATATCACTTTTGATAATTACATTTAACAGTGATATTACTGCTACGGATTTTGTTGTTGTTGTCGTTGCTGCCTTTCCTGTTGGGATTTTTTGCTGTTTTGTTCCGATTGCCTTATATCTTATTTTCCTGATTCTAAAGAGAGCAACCCAAAAAGTCGCTCCTCCGTAACCTGCATATATATGTAAAGACCTTCCTCCTAGGGCGTGAGGCTAGCAATCCCACCCTGTAAACAAAACTGCCACAGAAACTTCAGTAGGAACGGTCTCCTTGCGACAAAAGAAAAAGTATGCGTGGAAACATGGAGACCGGCAAAGCCGCCCAGGTTGCAAATGATATGAAGAGATATGGTACTGAAGTACTGGGAATATGTGAAAGCGGATGCAATCGGAGTGGACTAACCAAATTTTCAACGGGAGAGTCAGTGACCTACTCTAGTCATTCAGAAGACAACTACGTGCATACCAAGAATGTGACTCTAATGATGTCACCAATGGCAACGAAGGACCTGATACAATGGGAAGCGATCTGGTCCAGTATAATGGCCGCCAGATTCAACTCAAAAGGAAGGAGAGTGACAATTATAAAATGTTGTGCACCCGCAAACCACACAGACCTAGGAGAGAAAGAAGAGCTCCACGGGCAACAGTGGATAATACTGCAGTCGGTGACACTAAAATCCTAATGGGTGACATGAACGCCAAACTGGGACCAGACAATACAGGAAGAGAACTGATTATGGGATTGAGAAGCACTCGGAGAGATGAATAAAAGCGGATAACTTATCGCTGACTTCTGTGCCTTCAATGGACTAGTGATTGGCAGCGTATACAATCACAATGATATCCACAAAACTACATGGGTGTCACCAAACAGGCAAACGAAAAGTGTAATCAAACAAGAAAATGTATCCATGTAAAATATTTAAATGCGATTGTACAGCTTTTGAAAATGAAACCGCCGAACCTGAACTTCGTTTTCTCTTCTTTCTAATGTTTTCAACGATCAAAAAAAGCAAAATTGACTTCATCTCAATACTGCTCAAGGAAGTGGAGACGCAGCTTACTGGACATAAGAGTCTGTCTGTTTTCGACATAGAACTTTGCACAAATGTGCGGAAGTTCAAGTCGCCACATTCCGTGTAGCACGCGAAACAAGAGAAGAAAGTACAAGAAAAGCATAATAGAAATAGTGAGCAGAGGTGTGAGACAGAGGAGTAATAAAGAAATACAAAACAGTTTCATTAAAGATCATAAGTCACAGGGAGTGGATGCATCTGCGCCACTGAGAACGATTTTGAGCCATGTCACCAATTGTTTCCAACCATAGATTTTTACCGTCCCGAGGACCCCAGCCTGGAAGTCTACACCTTTCTACGTGGCTTAGACCAACTGTTGTGGATTTCATTGACTGATGCCAAGTTTTTGTTTGACCGCCGCTAGCTTTTTTCCAGCCTGACCCTATATCCGCTAACATAGCTCGTCGAGGGAGGCGATGACTTGGCATACGTAACACATGTCCTAACCATCTCAGTCTTTGTAGCTTCACGACTTCGTCGATTGATTTCCCCTGTTTACCTAGAACTCTGCGCCTAACCTCCATGTTGCTCACCTTATTATGCCACTTTACACGGGAAATAGAACACAGGCACCTATGATCAAAGACAGCTAGCTAGTCTTTTCATGTCTTCCACTCTCAGTGGCCAGGTCTCACAGCTGGCCATAAAGGAGGACGGAGCGGACTGATGAGCAGTACACCCGCCCTTTGGTCGATAGTCGAACATCTCGTCTACGCCAGAGTCGGCGTAAGCTAACAAATGCGAAACGAGCCCCTTGTATTCGTGCTGAGATTTCGTCAGAGATCAGCCCGTTGGGGCTGATGGTACTTCCCAAATAAGTGAAGCGGTCAACGTGCTCTACCACTTCACTTCCTATTTTTAAACTAGGTGTCGATGTAGTCCAGTCCTGTAACATCATCTTGCATTTGGCGGGAGCGAATCGCATGCCAAACATTCGTAGATTGCGGCTCAAGATGTTTAGAAGACTCTGCATTTCGTCAGCGTCTTCGCCTAGAAGGACTATATCGTCTGCATATTCCAAGTCAACGAGATTATTCCCAGGTAGCAAGTCAATCCCTGAATCGCTGAAGTCACCTAGGGTTAAGTCCATTAACCCAACAGAAGCATTGAAAATGAATCCAGCGACATGAGTGGACTTGATAACACCACTGCTTAAGAAGGTGTGGAAAGAGGGCAAGGTACCTGCGGATTGGAAGAAGGGCTACCTATTCAAACTGAGATTGCCTTAATCTATGTAGAATTTTATTTATTGATAATGTACTAACTGGATGCAATACTGTAGTGAAATGCTGAGAATTCCATTCTGTATCACAAATACTGTTTTGGAATAAAGCTTATTATTATTTAAAAAAAACTGCCAAAGAAAGAAGACTTAGGTCATTGCATTATGTTCCTGTCTATCCCGAGCTAAATACCAAACTGCATCATCCTGGAAATAGTCAAGCACTCCCTGGATGATAAACTTCGACCGGAACAGGCTGGATTCAGGAGGAACAAGTCATGCATCGATCAAATCGCAACACTACGTATTGTCATTGAACACAGCTCGGAATGACAGTCAGCTCTCTGCCTCAACTTCATCGACTTTGAAAAGGCCTTCGACAGCGTTGATCGAGAGATGATTTGGAAATTACTTCGCTACTACGGGCTGCCGCCAACAATTATGCACCTCATCCAACAGTTGCACGATGATGCTGCATGCCAAGTAATGCACAACGGAAAACCCACAGAATCCTTCGAAGCGAAAACGGGAGTAAGACAAACTGGCTGATCATTATCTGCAATGATTTTCCTGATTGTGGTAGACTGGATAATGCGACAGACAGACAACGGGCAACGAGGAGACAGGCATAAAATGAATCCACACAGAAAAATTGGAGGATGTGGATGTCGGCGATGATAAATGTCTGATTTCCCACAAACTGGAAGATATGCAAGTGAAAAGCAACAAGTTGGCAGAAGAAGCATCAAAGATAGGACTCCAAGTAAACATATAGAAAACAGAGGTGATGAAGATTTCTGGCCAACAGGAACAACAACTGACAACAATCGGCATGAATGGGAAGAATCTGAAAGAAGCAAGCTCCTTCAGCTACCTGGGAAGCATCTTTTCAACTACAGACGGATGAAACTGATGAGGATATCAAAGCGGGGATCAATAAAGCAAGCCAAGCTTTCATTGCTCTCAAGTCTGTTTGACGATCAACACTCAGCCTGAAAAATATGATCCTAATTTTCAACTGCAATGTGAATTCACTGCTACTATACGGATCAGAGATTTGGCGCGTCGCGAAGGGCACTTCGAACAAAATACAGACTTTCATCAACAGCTGTCTTCGCTCAATACTCAAGATCACATGGCCAAAAAAGATCAGCAACAGGGATCACTGCGAGCAAATCAACCAGAAACCGATTGTGCAACAAATAGGCAGGAAGAAATGGAGATGGATTGGCCATACTCTGAGGAGACCATCAAGTGACATCACTAGACAGGCCATCGGTCAAGTCAAACCCGAAAGGGAAGCGGCGAGTTGGTCTTCACTGCGAGAGTAACATGGAGGAGGTCGTGCGAAGCGGAGATGAAAGCATGTATGCAGACGTGGAGCCAGGTGAAAACGTTGGCGGAGAACCGAACGCAATGGAGACGTGCAACTGAAGTCCTATGTTCCTCTAGGGACTAAAGGATATAATAATAATAAATGTAAAGTGATTATACATGACTAGACTACATCGACTCCTAGCTTTAAAGAAAGGGATTGAAGTGGTAGAACGTGTTGACCACTTCACTTATTCGGGAAGTTGCATCAACCCCAGCGGGCTGACTACTAATGAGTTCTCAGCAAGGATGCAAAACGCTCGCGTGGTGCCTTTCCACTGAGACATGATATCTGACTGTTGACCAAAGAAGGTGTGCATTGCTCAACACTTCAGTCTGTCCTCCTATATAGTTGTGAGACATGATCATTGGAAGCGAAAAACATGAAAAGGCTAGCTGTGTTTGATCATAAGTGTTGGCCTTCTTTTTCCGGTATTAGGTGGTATAACTGGGTGAGTAATACTGAGGTTAGGCGTCGAGTGTTAGGTAAGGAGAGAAAGTCAGTCGTTGGGTTTGTGAAGCTACATCGATTGAGATGGTCATGACTTGTATTGCTCATGCGTAATCATTACCTTCGTCGACGGCCAGTGTTAGCTGACATAGGATCAGGTTTGAAAAGCGGCTCGAACCAAAAGTTGGAGTCAGTCCATGAAAACTTGACACGTTAGAAGGTGTAGATTGAATGGTTGGATGGGATCCTACTAAACTGTGACATTTTTCCATGTTACTATTCTAACTCCCTTACATTTCTGCTTATTATTGTTCTCTTGAACCTCTTTTTTCTCTCTTTTGTCTCCCTTTGTGTGCTCCATGGAGTGTGGCACTGCACTTCTATACAAAATTCTTTGTTGAAACCAGTGGTTCAGACTGAATGTAGATGGTTAAGACATACGAAGCGGTATATTGTATACTGAGTAAATAATTCACAGAATCCTGAGAAACTACATGTATGCTGTTACTTCTCATATAGGTGTGTAACATCATAATCCCAACTGCATCCCTGTTCGATTTCAACAGTGGCACATTACTGACCCACAACACTATTACTGGCTACACATACAGCATCAGTTTAGTCCCTCTAAATGTGCTCAAATAACTTTCAGGTGATGTATCGCCTAAATTTAGTTATTGTGATTCTGCTGAAGGTTATATTTCTCATTTACTTCCATATGACTTTTGTAGTCTTTACTCATGTGTAGACATAAATTCTTGTCATTTCATAGGAGTATGTGTATTCCACAGGAGTGCTAATCAAACACTTGTGTGCAGATACATTTACAGGATGTGAAATACTCATTGACTGACCTTTACCATACTTTTTATTTTGATTACTTATGAGTAATCTTAAATGCTTATTTTAATATTTATGACATGTTCCACTCACTAGGGAATAGTTTGTGCTACGTGATTTCTAGTCAAGATCTTATATACTGTAGTTTATCGTAGCTAACTAAAATATAGTCGATTGTAAAATACTAAACTGTAATATATTTTATGTATCCTGGTACAATAATTTGAATATAGAAGTACAGCTCACTAGAGGTATAAACCAAGATATATAAAAAGTTGCATAAAAGATAAACATAAATGCCAGCATTTTGATTAGATCACCAGTTCAAATCCGTAAACATTCATTTCAGTTGCCCTTCCAACACAGGCAATACAATCTATGCTTTACATTGCTCAGACCAACAAGTCTAGTATATTTATTATTATTATTTCCTTTAATTCCTAGAGGAACATAGGGCTTCAGTCGCGCGTCTCCATTGTGCTAGAGTTTTCATCTGGCTTCAAGTCTCCTACATGCTTTCATCTCCCCTTCACATGACCTCCTCCAAGTCACCCTTGGACGACCGACTCACCACTTCCCTTTCGGGTTCCACTCGAGCAATGGCTTGTCTAGTGATGTCACTTGATGGTCTCCTCAGAGTATGGCCAATCCATCTCCATTTCTTCCTGCCTATTTGTTGCACAATCGGTTTCTGGTTGATTTGCTCGCAGTGATCCTTGTTGCTGATCTTTTTTGGCCATGTGATCTTGAGTATTGAGCGAAGACAGCTGTTGATGAAAGTCTGTATTTTGTTCGAAGTGCCCTTCGCGACGCGCCAAATCTCTGATCCGTATAGCAGCAATGACTTGAAATCGGAGTTGAAAATTCGGAGTATATTCATCAAGTATAATATAGAAAATCGTATTATTCGTAAACCAATATGGTTAACTCGATGAAATTGTTTAATGGTGTATTTCTTCTTAGTTACCTCACAATATTTCACTTAAGAAAAGAAAAATTCTAAAGGGAACAAATCAAATTGAAAATAGTTCGTCATTATCAATAGCATTTTGTTTTACAATGTAATTATCCTGTATATGTGTCATTGGGAGTATTCTGTCACACTCAACCATTGTCCGAATAAATCTAATTAGTGTAGGTAGACAGGAATTCACCCAAGCAATTTTTTTATCATTTATTATTCACACGTTTTAATTAGGTCTTCCAACGATATAGGTAGGTAATACATAAATGCACGTGTTGTTTTAACACTTTTGTCCGTGTGACCGTATTTTTTCTCTCTTCACATTTTCGCCTTTTCTTCAATACGCTTATCATGCCTCGAAGTCTAACGCCCTTGTCCCTGCAGTCATATATCTTAGGCTTTTAGTGCGAAAATTTTACAATTGATTTTGCAATATGCGAAAGTGGTTTATTAGGACACTAAAAAAAGAAGAGTAATTAATCTACTCAATGTGCTGCATAATCGCATTCGCATGCCTCGTTTTGCCAAGCATCTACAATGCACTAAATAAAGTAGTTGATTGGCCGGTTGGTCATGTATGTTCTCATGACATTTTAGGGAAGAAGCTTGTGAACAATGAATATTTGTTATCCAACCCCTGGCAAAAACATTAATTCTCAACCATTTTCTTTTACATATTTGATTAATGTGTTTTGCCAGGGGTTGCATAATAATATTGAAGTATTTGAAAAGGCAAGCTGTGACAGTAAAAGAAATGTTGTTAAGTCATTCAACAGACACAGGATTATGTGAGTGAACTGTTATCTGGACGCTAGATTGTGATGTTTTATTGATATATTGATATTTCTTTGCATATAATTATTGTTGTCAACATTGGTTTTTCAATTTATGTGTCACAGGTTCGTGACTCACTTTTTTTTCCTTCACGTTCCCCAGTGGAACATAGGGGCTTCAAGCCAGTGACTTGAAGTTTCTGACGCAGTATTTATTTTACAGGATGGGGTTGCTAGCCTCATGCCCAACCTTTCCTCTTTACCAACATTATTTCTGGCTTAGCGAGGTAAAGGAGTGCGTCGATGGCCGGGGATCGAACCCTGGACCGATTTCTCTAAGACTAACGTTAGTGACTGCTACTAATCAACTGTTATCAGTCTATTAGAAAATCTTCGATCTGACAAATTTTCGAATATAAAAAATTAAGTTTCCTACCTTACAAAACCATAATTTCTTCTAAAAAAAAGTGTAAACAATCTGTCTTCAATTTCTTTTTACCTACAATGGTACAGTTACGCCGTCTAAAGAGAAAATATCCAGCAGTTATGAAGAGTTGTCGTTGCAACTGTTCTGAAGTCTGATAGCGTAGTAAGATTAAGCCATCTAAATCATAATTGCTTGTGACTACTGTCCTACGATTTCGAACCCGCGAATATGTAAATCACTTTCTTTTTGTTTTTGAAAATAGAAACTAAAATTTAACTCGATGACGATCTTCAAAACCTGACACCATTTTCACTTCCACAAAAGAGTCCGTTTTATACTGGTTTGGCTATGGAGGTCGTTTAATATTTTGTTTCATTTTCATTGTTCTTTTATAGACTCGTCGATATTCATTTCCGCATATTTTCACAGTTAACTTCAGCTTGCCTAATGTATGGTCAGATTATTTAGAACCAGAAGCAGATCCTGTTGTTCCAGAGCACCGATATGCAGTAGCGTTGATGAACTGTTTTGCATCTGCTGTCGCTCAAGCTCGTTCAATGGGGATCAACTCAGGCGTTCTCGATGTACCCATCTCGGTTCAGTGTGTCTGCTCAGATGGTGTATATTTTGATTTTATCACATTTCAGTTGAACAACATGGATGTACCTGATTATCAATCTGACCCCCAGGCTGTTAGTACTGTACGTAAAAACTTTGCATGGATTGATGGAAACTATCGTCTGTTTAAGAAGATGATACCGAAGCGAAGTATGCTGCGCAACACAAAGTATCGTGATTTCGATATGAGCGTTTTTGATCGTCTGACGAGTTACTATCTATGTGGAATGCTTGACACTTCTTTCACATTACCTGAAACATTACTTCCCAAATGGAATGTAAATAGACAAGAGGTACTATAAATAAACAGATCTAATAGACTTATAGACAATAATAGTTGCGAATAATATAATTTCACTTGTATAAAAACACTTATGTAATTATTCCTTTCACTTATCTGTTTTGTCATAAAAATATATATGTATATATGTGAAAGCAATTATTTCGCCAAGACTATCAGTTTTAATCTTTTCTTGTGGGCTGTTACTCTAAAAATGTGAGGTCGTAATCATCTATTGACTGTTTTTTTCACCATAGATACGAAAGTGAAGTTTTTTCTGTTGCCTCTCACTGCTAGTAATTGTAACTAATTCTGACCATAATTGATTGGGTTTCAACGTAAAATTTTGCATAGAAGTTTAACCGTTGTAGTTATCACATAACACACAAAGGTAGTGAAAGAGAAAATTCAAGTGATCTATAATGAGCCGAAAAAAATTCTTGATGACGTTATACTTTATTTTAAATAACTATTTTTGATTACTTATAGAATAGGATTATTTGCTATATAACACAGCAACCAGATGATGTTTCAAGCACAAGTTATTACTTCTGAGTATATCACTGTATTCACAGGACTTGGTAACCTGCTGCATACATTCCTACTCCCTGCTGTTTTTATTACAGTTTCCCATATATCTGGTATGGGCGTTGCGTCATTTCGATCGTATGAGTTTGATATCGACTTCAAATGAACAGGGATTTTACTATAGTGCCCAAATTCTATTCTCACTTTATTTTTGACTCCGCCTAAGATAATCACATAAGCTATAAAAGACACTCTTAAGTAGGTTTCTGTCTCTCTCATCGATTTTTTTTAAAACTATTATACGTTACGAAATGACTGTAAATGACAAATATGTTTCAGATGATTGTAAAAGTAGCATTTGCTATTCTGTAACTTAACAAATAGAAATCCTACCCGATTGCAAACGAAGAGAAAGAATGTCTACAAATATATGGTCTAATAATAGAATATTATTGATAAAAATGAACGTTATTAGATTTTACTGGACAGATACTATTGAAATAGGCAATTGTTTTACCTGCTGTACCCTACTGGTCATGACTTCCCACTAGAACGCCAGGTTAACTGCCTGAATAGGTACTCCTGTCCAGTACTTCCAGTGGTTCTCTAACTGTTGTCAGCTATTGACAAAATCTTCCAACCAATTAAACAAAATCCCTACAAAAACCAATACTTGAAAATTAATCTGATGCTCACTAGTGACTGGCCCTATTCAGGCAGTTACCTGGGGTTCTAGTAGGAAGCCGTGACCAGTAGGGGGGGGGAGTACAGCAGGTTGAAGACGAGGCAGTAACTCATCGAAGAAGAAATCGTTTTACTGTTGTCGAAAGCAATAATAAATTGTCATGAAGTGAAATTAACAAGGCGACTACATGGAATCTTTACAGCACAAAACATCTTTTAGTGTATACCTTGAAAAAGAGGAATCCAGGCGCTTAGTATAAGTATCAGTTACATAAGGAATATCCTCGAGCATATGTCTGGTTTGTTGATTTCTATTCTACTTGTATAGCTGTGTTGCCAAACTGCTGCCATGCTAAATTAGGCATTCAGTGTGTGCATAGAAATCGCAGAAACATGTTCAAATTACGGAAATTAACTTATGTTGATGATTACACCTTAATTTCTCTCAATGTAGACTAACGTTTTTCAAATTCCTGGCCTGTCGTTATAGAATGGAAGTTGTAGTGATGTTGGGGTATTTGTTTAGAAATACGTTGAGGTATTAATTCATAACAACAGTGTAATAAAACCTACAATGGAACTGTGGCTCATAAGTCTAGACGCTTGAATCCCGACCATCTGATCACGAGTTCTTTGCCTATTGAGATTTGGACATCCTTCACACAAATAGGTGTGGCTCATTATATGGGAATGCAAACGTCTACTGAGTAATATTTCTTCCCTTTTTTTCATCATTGAAACTTACTGGGTCATTTGTATTCATAAATGCCTTGTGCTCGTTTTTTGTCTGCTGCATTTCAGTGGATCCGAGTTATAAGTTCATCTACTACTACCTTATGCTCATTCTTGTAATCGATGTGAATACCGATAGATACAGTGCTCTAGATGTAACATTTTAAAATAAGTCGATAAAAAAGGATTACATCAAACATGATATCCAATCATTTCTCGATTTTGTCATTTGGTTGTTGTATATTTCCTTTGATAGTGACCACCAGTGGAATCTACACTGCTAATCACCACCATTAAACAAAATGACACTGCGCATCAGTTCTAGGAACCGACATGTCATTCATCAGAGAGAGAGAGAGAGACTGAGCATTTCTCTCTAACACAATCAAACGATGGGAAATGTAAATTAACCTTTAAAAAGTAGCTATCGTATAGCCTACACATAAGTGGAAATAGCTGTTTTACAAGGAAATCATTGTTCATATGAAGAAATCATGTTGGAACGCAGGTGAATTTACGACAATCCTAGTCTCCATAAAAATCAGAGTTCGGATCATTTTTGCGAATCAAATGTTTGTTCATCTAACCGATTGTGCATCAACTGTTTTCTTTTCTGTATCAATAATGAGATTAAAAGTCTAGAAATTTGCATGTCTCATTGATGAAAGAAAAAGAAAAACTTGTCACTACTATGGCGTATAGATTACATAAGCTTGATCTGTAATCAAATTATTGATTACAAATTGAAACAGAAACACAAGAGGTACTTTATAAACATATTGATTAAAACTTTGTGAAAACATTTTTCTGTTGTTTTTTTTCACATGAAAAGAATTTCTTTAGACCATAGAGAAAATAGGTAATCGTTTGTTTTATTAAAGTATTGAATTTGTTGTTCTTCATTTCTTGTTTAAATACCTTGATTATAGGCTAGAATAAGCTTAAATGTTATAATTGAAGATTGTCAGTCATATCTTATCGAGGAATGTTTTAACCTTACAAAGACTCTTTGTACACTAAAGTAGACATTTTTCACATCAACTGCTCTGAATAAATTTGGTCGATGTGTGAATGACAGCAGCCAAATTTTAAGATGAAAATAACTGACTATGCCAGTTTGATATACCGATAAGCGGTATGGTTGACCTTGTGTCGTTATGGTCGTAACTGAATATACGATTAAGAACAGTCAATCTAGTGAATGCCGACAAAGGGTTTATTATTCAAGGAGAAATGATTTGCTAAGTAGAAAAGGTATCTAATTCAAAATAAACCGCACTTTATTCTTGTAAGCTAGTAATTTTGTCGATTTGTTCACGTGTAAATAGATAAAGCCAGCTGGAAGCTTTGCTCATTGACTTAAAGACCCCATTTCCTGCTGACAAGTTCCATCTTAGCTACTGTGGACTGGACAACTGGATTATGTCGTAACACTTTAAGCTTGCCGTATAACCTGTATCAGAAAACTAATACGCGCTACTTTTTTTCAATATTATTCCACATGGCTACAAAAAGGTAATGTTGGCTGTATTATAAGGAGTGCGATAATCGAACATCTCGTCAACACTAACCATTTCATTTCAACAAACGCCTCCTTCAAAGTGATCTACAAAGTGAAGAACAACCTGTCAAAAGCAATACGCTTTCATCTCCTTTGTATTTCTGAAGCTTTAGTCATTTAGTTGCATAGACCAGAGTTATGCATACAAAATAAAACCACCCAACCACTTCTACTATCATGGTAACAACCGTGTTGACTTTTACCGACTTGATGTTTGTATGCCTGTTTTTTCTAACTCCTTGTAGCATTTGTAATTTTTATAACTCTTACATAATTCCATATTCCCCTTTGTTTCTATGCGCATCCTAGTCACAACTCACTCATTAGGCTATTCATCTTATTACGCAACAATATCTCGCTTATTCAACGTCTTTTATGTGTTAATAAATATGTTTTGAAAACACATCATCACTACCCGCCTACTAATCTTCACCTCCCCCCCCCCTATAGGTACAGTTTGATAACTCATCACACTTTTGAGATGTCTTGACAACAATAACCCTAACTTATTTTTATTCTTATTGGACAAACCTAATACACACACATACAAAAATAAGTATGTATACTTGTAATTGTACAGCTAAGTGGATGAATTCGCTGAAAAGAGACTTTTCACCGAAGTACGTGATTTATTTTTATTAATGTCTGGTTGGGGATTATTCATGAAATATTGTCCCAACTTTAAGTGGTTTTCTCTGTATCCAATCTTCTTTTTTTTCTTCACGTTCCCCAGTGGAACATAGGGCTTCAAGCTAGAGGTATGAAGTTTCTGTAGCAGTGTTTATCTTCAGAGGATGGGGTTGCTAGACTCACGCCTAACCTTCTCTCTTTACCAGCTTTATTACTGACTTAGCGCGAGGTAAAGGAGTGCGTCTGTGGCCGGAGACCGAACCCCGGACCATGTGCATGGTCCCTTTCCACACACATTCGAACAGCCACTCATTTGGTTAAACCACTAAACAGTCAATGAGCGGAGTATAACTCATTGTGCTATAACGTAAAATTACAATTAGGAAGCTTTTCTTTGTTAAAATACCAAACGACTGTGGTGAGATAAGGCTAAGTTTCCAACCAAACTGGTTTTTTTTTAATTCAACCGAATACATGTAATGAATAATATTCGTTGATGATCTGCATTACATTTCACAAATGGAGAAGTTAACAGTGAAAGTCCATGTTAACCTGTTCGCATAGTTTTACTTGTTTCCGTCTTTTTGAATTTAATTGAATGCAATTTACAAGAAACATGTGTTGTTCTGACAGTTCTGAAACGATAGATAAAAGTGAAGAGATATTTTGGTGTCAGTGGATAGATGGAATGGGATATGAGACTGTAACAGCAGAACACAGTAGTATTTTTTATTTACTTGGCAAAATGCAGAAACCTGGCATTAGAATTTCCTCTCGTATTTCGCCTCTTTTCTCTACGCTTCATGCTTTCTATACAGTTTCACAAAGACTTTTTACATTTCTCCATCGCCGCACGCTTCAAAATCCTTGCAGAAGTCTTCACACAC